AGAGAGAGAGAGACTTCAATAAACTATGGCTTCTAAAAAAACATTCGTAGACTTATGAAAGACATATTCAAAAACCGCACGAAGGTAGGAGTGGAACCAATACGGAAGGAAGATAACATGCAATACGAGGACTATACGCGAGATGCGAGGAGAAGAAACATTGCAAGAAATGAGACAGAAAGAGCCTGTAAGTATGACAGAAAAAAACACACACACACACATAACTACGAGAAGATGGGGCACAGATACTAGAAAAACCGAAAGAAGAGCGTCTAAGCTGATAAGAATAAAAAGGAAGGAGGAAAACGACATGATAGAGAAATGAGAGGATAGTTCTAGGAGTTAAGAGCGTGAGCAGCACAGTTGGACTTACGGGAGAAGACACATTATTTAAGAACGACCTAACGGTTCCGTCGAAATGGACGATATCCTTAAAAACGATTAAGTTTCTAGATAACTTAGAACTTACTGGTTCAAATTAGAGAAAAGAACATGAACGAAACTGCTCCTAATATTTTCTTGAAGTCTAAAAAGAACTAGCAGACGTTAGTACGTACGCTAGTCCTTAAATTCTTACCTAGTAAGTATATGACTGCTGCAGTCGTAGGAGGAGCGGGAGTTGAGGGAGACGCGGGAGGAAACTAGGGCATTGACGATCCAGAAAGAGACGAAATGTTGGGAAAGGAATTCAATTTTCGGCTTCAATTAAACTGCCTTTATAAATTTTCCCAAAAGTCGATAGTAGTTCTGTTAGCGCAGTGGTTTGAGTATTTTGTTTTAATCCAATGGTCTCGGGTTCGGTTCTTGCCGCGGCCTTCTGTATCAGTGCGATCTTTTTATTTTTTACCCCTCGAAGTCAGTTGTGGAAGCACAGTGGTATGGATTTCGAATCAGAAGCCGTTGGTCTCCGGTTCGATTCTTGCTGCTACCTTTGATCATCATCACTGCTACCCTAAACACAATATTGGATATGTGTCATGTCTAAGAAATCTAGGAAAGTACGTAGTAGAACAAAATATATTATTTACAAATAAGCTTCGCAACCCTATGTCGACTTGGTCGCCTCTTGTTTTTTTTTTTTTTGGTAGGTGAAAATGCATTATACCCATTGGCTCATAACTTTGCGTTGACAATTGACCTTGGTCAGTGTTCGTTACCATTGATCATCATCACTGCAAGTTGCTCGAAGGGCTGGAAACTGACATGCCGGGACAACTTCGCGCGCAGCAGTTGAGCAACATCTGTACAGCGTTGTACTGTTCTCTGGGCTGGTCAATGCGGCTTATGACGAGTTGGTTTGGAACCCCAGAAGCTTTGGTCAACGATGCATTCAAACCTGGTTTTTTCGTGCACCTGTCGCCCGCGTCGCGCACCCAATAACGAGTGACCTCCCATCGCGTCACCACAGACATGGGCGCATCACGACGAAATGTCTGACGAAATGCATCGCCTACACCCATGCGAAGGATTCGCAAGTTCTCCCAATGGGATCACAGCGTCTCGCGATTGTTCGTCTACAGTATCGCATTCCGCAAACCGTAACACACTCGATCGTTGACCAAATATCAGATGGGTTCGGAAGGTGTGGGGCACATGTATCCAGAGCAGAGGTGTGGCACGATATATCTTCTTTGACCACATACCTGGCCCAAGCCACCGGTCAACAGTTTTTTGACCCGTTCAAAGCCTACGACAGGTGTTACCATACTGACATGTTTTGTACTTTACCGCAAGGCGAAGTATAACAAACGAATGACTTTCCCTGACAGCTTGTCGTTACCGCCCAGTTTTGACTACTTTCAACGCTACGTTCAACAGCCTTGACAACCTGCTAAAGCAACACGCGTTTCGTGGGCGCAGGAGTGAGCTCCCCTGCCAAATCCGTTTTTGTTCTGGGTTGGTTTAGGAAGGTTCACCCTGGTGTGAAATGGTCCAAAGCGGTGAAAGCCTAAAACTGCATCCAAACGTGTTGACTGTTTCAAACCGCGTCAAATTTTCCCAGGGCTGCCTCCAGCTGTGCAGCCTGCCATGAACCGCAACCCTATGCTGTTGCTCAGCAAAGTTTCTACCTCCAAACTCCAGTGACTTCCATAGCACTTTCACAGCCTAACATTGCCCAAAGTTCATTCTCTAGGACTCGAAAGTTACTGATAGTAGTACCATCCGTTATTTCCGACGTCAAAAACAGCAATTGTTAGCGCTTGCCTTCACAGACGTCACAAACAGCATTTTTTAGCGAGGCTTTGCCGCCTTTTCCGACGTTTCTGAGGGCCGCGATCTCTTCGAGCGGAATTTATTACTACGTGAAGGACTTGGATTTTCCTGTGGCGTCACGGACTCTAATTGAGAGCGCGGGCCCCCGAGGGATGATTGCTGACATCAGCGGCGCTAAAGCCCCCCTCCAGTGGAGGAGTTGAGTCTGCGGGTGAGAGCTCTCCTAGGAGGGGTGGGTCTCAAGGAGGGCGTGCGAGCATGACCAAAGAGGCTATGATCCAGCTTTTGGGATTTCTACAGCAGCAGCAGCAGCAGCAGCAGCAGCAGCAGCAGCAGCAGCAGCAGCAGCAGCAGCAGCAGCAGCAGCAGCAAAAACAACATCAGCAACAAGCATCATTCGTGCAGCTGCAGACGCCAAGAAATCATTTAACAGCTTTTCCCACAGCCTTCCCAGTAGCCATACAACCAGGTGGAATCGGCGTGCCAACAGCAGCCGCTGCGGAGTTGTCTCAAAGGCCAGAACAACAGTCAGCAACAATCTTTCCGCACCATGGAATCAGCCGTCCACCTGCTGCTGCAGCCCCTGTTTCATCCCAAGGCCTATTTCAATACAGCGGCATGCTTCCACGCCTCAACTCGTCATGGGGCGTTTTGCACCGGGAAATGCATCGCAACGATCATTAGGCCCAGCTGCGCCATGCCCAGCGCCTGTTTTCTCCCCACTGGATTCTTCATCTGATGGCCATTTTTCGGCACCCACCCTGGCCTCTCTTCCTCAACCATTCCCATCCACACGGCACGTCCCTGCCAGTGGACAGCCCTTTGCTGCCGCTTCTTCGCCAGTGGCTGTCTCAAAACTGCGGCTTAGTCGGTCCTCTCATAATCAATCGCTATCGTCAATGTTTCGTGCACTTTCCACTGCAGATGCTGAGCTGGATGAGGAGTTTTCTGCTTTGGTTTCATGGCAAATGGAGCTGCAGCGTCGAAGGCGGCAGAAGCAGCAGCAGCAGCAGCAGCAGCAGCAGCAGCAGCAGCAGCAGCAGCAGCAGCAGCAGCAGCAGCAGCAGCAGCAGCAGCAGCAGCAGCAGCAGCAGCAGCAGCAGCAGCAGCAGCAGCAGCAGCAGCAGCAGCAGAAGCTGCTGCTGCAGAGTCAGGGGGAGGGGCAGCAACATCAACAGGGGTTGCGAGGGCAGCAACAGCTGGTGCAAAAACAGAAGCAACAACAGCAACTGCTGCAGCAGCTAGAACAGCAGCAGGAAAGGATCATAGCTGCTCTTATAATAATGATCGCTGGGGCAGCCTCAATAGCCTCAGGGAGAAATGGATCGCCAAATATAGCAGACTTGCCAAATATAGACGTGCACCAGGGAGCTCATGCAAGCGCAGCAAGAGTAACAGGCTCCGGTGCAGGAGCAGAAAATTTACCTGCCCAGAGAGTAACAGGCTCTGGTGCAGTAGCAGCAGCAGCAGCAGGAGCTTTACATTCCTGGAGAATAACAGGCTCTGGTGATTTAGCAGCATCAGCTTTATCTTCCCTTACTGCTTCGGGACCACAAACTGTGAGCAAGGGGACGGCTGGGGCGGGTGCGGATGGGTTGGAAGTTCCTTCATTGCCAAATCTGGCTGCTATCTTAAGACTATTGGAGCGTGGAGCAAGGCCAGAAGGCGGAGAGGGGTCTGCTACTGGGTTGTTGAGAGGGGTGGGTGTGGTGGAGGGAAACACTGAAAATGGAAGTGTGCACGAAAGGGATGTTGGAGGAGGGAGAGGAGAGAGAGAAGGGGTAGCAGGAATAGTAGGAGCAGGAGGAATAGAAAGAATAGGGGAGATTAAGTCAATCGCATATTCAATGGAAGGTGGGGCAGGATTCGCGAACAGTCCAAGAGGAGCAGCAGGAGGGAGCAATGGTCTCAGCATCTCAGGTCTCGCCCACTCCCAGTACTCCGTTACTCCGGCTTTAAGACCTGCCTGCAATCCGAGTGTTGAGAACACATGCTCTGGCACAAGCTTAGCTGCTGCTGCAGCAGGCGGGGGGGGCTTGGCCCTTTCGCAGCAGTGGGAACGGTCCCGGGAAGCATGAGAGATGCATGTGGTGGTGCGAAACCTGGGTCCCTCGAGCATGAGAGCATGACCTTAACCCAGCAGGATCTGGACCTCTCCTTGTCCCTGTCCCTGTCCCTGTCCCTGTCTCCTGCTTCTGCTGCTCGTCCAGCTCCTGCACCTCCTGCTGCTGCTGCTGCTGCTGCTGCTGCTGCTGCTGGATTGGGAAGAGGTGGAGTAGAAGGTAGTTCTATTGAGGCAGAACCAAGGGTAACCAGAAGTGAAGCCAGGACCGGAGCAGCCCATTTCCGCATGCAACCGGGCGCCCCTCTTTCTGCTTCCATGCATGCTCATGCTCCCTTGCCCTCACATTCCCTCATGCCTGCATTCTCCCATGCTCATCTGCCGGAAGTTGCTGCATCAGGTGCTCCTGCTCTTGCTTCTGCTCTTACTGCGGATCCTGCCATTGCTGCTTCAAATCCTGATGCTCCTCCGGACGCTACCACTTTTTCTCCTCCTGCTACTGCTGCTGTTGCTGCTGCGATCAATCCAGTTACCCTTCCTCATCCTCCTCCTCCTCCTCCTCCTCCTCCTTCCTCTGCATTTGACGCTTCTCCTGATTGCTCTGCCTCCACTGCCATGGCAGCAGTAGTTGCTGCTAGCCCCCGTCCTGCAGCTCTCCTCTCCAATCAAGAATCCCATCTGACCAGCTGCCCATTGCAGATCTCCTCTCTAGGTTCTCATCATTTCAGCTCAGAATACAAACCTGCTTCTGCTGTGGCTCCTCCTCCTCCTCCTCCTCCTCCTCCTCCTCCTCCTCCTCCTCCTCCTCCTCCTCCTCCTCCTCCTCCTCCTCCTCCTCTTCCTCCTCCTCCTCCTCTTCCTCCTCCTCCTCCTCCTCCTCCTCCTCCTCCTCCTCCCCCTCCTCCTCCTCCTCCTCCTCCTCCTCCTCCTCCTCCTCCTCCTCCTCCTCCTCGTCCTCCTCCTCCTCCTCCTCCTCCTCCTTCTCCTCCTCCTCCTCCTGCTGTCAGCGGCGCCAGTCCCATTCTGGCGAATTGCCAAGCATCTCACCGCTTCAATGCACAGATAGCACTTGCTGGTGCCGCTCCAGATGCCGCTGATGCTACAGCGCCTGCTGCTGACGTTGATGGTGGTTCCGGTGGTGTGGGTAGTGGTGGTGACAGCGGTGCCAATCCTTTTATGTTGAATCGCCAAGCACCTCATCCCCTCAACGCACAGCTTGCTCTCTCTGGTGCTGCAGCTGCTCGTCCTGCTCGTGGTGGTGCTGGTGGTGCTGCTGATGGTGGTGCTGCTGGTGCTGCTTCTGCTGTTGGTGTTGCTTCTTCTGGTGATTCTGGTGCTTCTGGTGCTGCTGCTAGCAATATTTGCTTCACAGGAGAAGTTTGGGGAAGCAAGGAGGGAAGGCAGGTCAACAGGCAGGGTATAAGCGATGTGGTAAGAAGGGAAGAGGGGAGACATATGGAGAAGAATGGACAACTGGGAGTGCTTTGGAGAAGAAGCAAGGAAGAGAGGGGTAATAAGAGAGGGAGGGAGGAGGAGAAAGAAGGGGAGGAGGATGAAGGCGACGAGGAATTTGAGGTAAAAAGGGAATGCTCGGCAGTGGAGATAGTCCAGGGGGCAACAGGTGCAAGGCAGGAATTGGGAGGAGGTCCAGCAGCAAGGAGGGATGATGGCAGTGGGAGTGGTGGTGGGGCGCTTGGTGGCCGAAATAGTGGTGAGAATAGTGAGGGGAATTGTGGAGGAGAAGGAGGTGGTGTGACTGCCAGCAGTGGGAGTGGGCATAGCAGTGGGTACGGCAGAGAAGGCTCATGGCAGAGCAAGGCAGAAAACAGCAAAGACAGTCATGGCAGCTCTGGCAGCACCTGTGCCTACCACAAGAGACGCTGCTGCTGCAACCATGCAAATCCCGTCTGATGGAGGTCAATCCAGCAGCAAAGGTGCACCTGTTAGCGCTTCCTCTAGCCAAGCTACAAGACCCGCCAGTTTAGCCCCATATTGTCCGTCCAAGCTGGTGGTCGGCAAGCGAGGAAAAAAATACAAAAACAGATACCGTGGTGTGCGTCAGCGGCTCCACGGGAAGTGGGTGGCTGAGATCCGAGTTCCGAACAAAAAATCCCGCGTTTGGCTCGGAACGTTCACCTGCCCGGAAGAAGCTGCTCGGGCATATGATCAGGCAGCAGTGAAACTGCGTGGTCCCAGAGCACAGGTAAATTTTCCCGATGAGTTTCAGAACTATCAGACTGGGGCAAGTGATGGCTTGCTGGGGTTTAAGGGGGTGGGAGGGAGTGGAGAAGGGGTGGATGGGGGAGGATGAGGTGGGGTTTAAGGGGGGACATGTGGCAGCAAGAGGAGAGGTAGAAAGGAGAGGGGAAATGAATATGCTTGTAGGCGGTGGCAATGAGAAGAGGGGAGAGGAAGACAGAAGGAAACAGGGACAGAGGGGAGGAAGGGGAGATGCCCGTGAGTGGAAAGGATGATGGGAAGAAAAGAAAGAGGCAGGCAACAGGCAGGAGCTGATGGAAAGAGTGAGACGTAGGGCTGCAGGAAAAAGGGAGAGGGGATGGGGGGAGCATATATGTGATCTGAAACTGTGATGATAAGAAAGGTGATGACGGAAAGGCAGAAGGCTGGAGGAGCTGAAGAGGGGGTCGGCTGGGGAGGCGGAGGAGTAGGAGCAGGGCTGAAGGAGAGAGGGGAGGGAGGGAACATGAAGGATGGATGCTCATGCCTGGAAACTCATGTTAATCGAAGTTTTTAGTATGATAGCCAGGGCCTCAGATTCGTTTTGGGGCACGCTGATCGCTCAGTGTCCCTTGAAGGCCAACACTGATTTTCAGTGTCGTCGTGTTGAAAACACTGATTTTTCAGTGTTCAAAAAATATAAAGGCTGACCAATAAGCGTTGTTATTCACTGTTATGTTGATTGTTATCGCTGTACTCGTCAAGGGACTTAGCTTAGCGAGGAATTTGGGCAATCATCATCGCTCATGGGCTCAATCTCGGCAAAAACGCACTGTAGGTACCGTTGTTGGCTGCCTAGGTAGCAAGTGACGCCGCCAATCACGGCAAAAAGGCAAGGCGGGAATTTCTGATTCAGGGTCGCGCTCGATATAAACACTAGAAAATCAGAGTTCGAAATTTAAAAACACTGAAACATCAGGGTCTTAAAAAAAAAGGCTGATGGATCAGGGTCATGTTAAAAAACGAGGGTCAAACTTCAGGAATTCAGGGCAAAAATCCTGACTTCTGAGGCCCTGATGATAGCATCTAGCCTGCTAACTATTTTCTTCACTGACATACGGTAACACTGCACATTGCTATGTGAATCCTTTGTTAGGTTGCTTTCTGGAACCTGCACAGGTGTGTAGGGCTATTTGCAAACTTGTCAAGGCGGCTCAAAAGAACCGTGATTGGTGGTGTATCGATTTCATTGCAATCGAGTTTTTCCAGCGTCCCATGCAGTACACTACCAAGTCACAGATTCAGGAAGCTGCAATATCACCCTCTCATGCAAAAAACAGCACCAGTAAATGGCTGCTCAGCTCCGTGCTATCTGCTATAGACCTGTGTTATATTGGTCCAATCCTGTAAGAGTGGCAGATTCACCAGTAAATGGCTGCAGGGTATGGGGTTCATACACCAATGAGTCAGTGGCAGATTCGACCACACAACGCCAAAAAGCTATGACAGAATATGTTGGGGTTTGATCCTCGCCCTTTCCACTCATCTGCTGCCTCCTGTTCTCCAGTCCTCTCCATCCCCACCACCCTCCCCACTCACATCCGCCTTTTCTTTGTCCCATCACTCCCTGCTCCCTTCAGCCCTGCATCAATCCACACCTGCCCTGCTCCTCACCCTTCTCCCCCACCTCCTGTCTTCTGCCCTCCACTCCTCTGATTGACTGCAGGGCGCCCCAGCAACTTCATTCATTGCTTCAATCCACACCTGCCCTGCTCCTTACTCTCCTCCCACATCTCCTGTCTTCTGCCCTCCACTCCTCTAATTGACTGCAGGGCGCCCCAGCAACTTCATTCATTGCTTCAACCCACACCTGCCTCAACCTCCTCCCTCACATCCTGCCTTCTGCCTTCCACGTATAGCCCTCCCCATCACCCCTTCCAATCTTATCCAAGCAGCTTTGAAAACATTAGCTTCAGCCCTGCCTCAGCCTTGCTGCACGCCCTAACCACTCATCTGCGGCCTTCTGCCTTTAATTCATCTCCCTCGTCCCCATCACCCGTTTCCACTCACATCCATCTCCCCTCCATCCCCTCCCTCCCTCTTCCCTTCAGCCTTGCTCCTCGCCCTTTCCCTCATCTGCTACCTTCTGCCTTCCACTCTCCTACCCTCATCCACACCCTCTTCAAACGTATCCATCTCCCCTCTCCTCCCTTCCTCCCCTACCTCTGCCGCACTTTCCCCTTTACTACCCACCTCATCCTCCTCCGTCTCCCCGTTCCCCACTCCCTCATCCGCCGCCTCATTCCGACAATTCTCATACTCATCGGGAAAATTCGTCAACGCTCGGGACCCACGCAGTTTCACCGCTGCCCGATCGTACGCTCGGGCAGCTGCTTCCGGGCAGGTGAAAGTTCCGAGCCACACGCGGGATTTCTTCTTGGGGAATCGGATCTCAGCCACCCACTTCCCACAGTGCCGCTGCCGCACCCCCCGGTACCTGTTTTTGTCCTTTTTTGCTCGCTTGCCGCCCGGCTGTTTGAATGAAGAAGACAGGGCCGAGTTACCACTTGTGTGCTGATTGGAGGAAGCATCAAAAGGTGCACCTTTGCTGCTGGTTCCACCAGCATCTGAAGGAATTTGCATAGCTGCACCAGAGCCCTTGGCGGTGGTTACAGTTGCTGCGGCAGCGGCTTTACTTGTCTTTACTATTTTCTTCTTTGTCCTGCTGCCTGGGCCTTCTCCGCTGCACCCACTATGCCGGCTCCCACTGCTAGTAACCATACCACCTCCTTCCCCTCCACCATCTCTCCCATTAATCCCACCACCACCGTCCCTGCCACCGTTCCCACCACCATGCCCCCCACCGCGCCCCACACGACCACCCCCACTGCCACCGTCCATCCTCGTAGCACCATCGCTCCTAATGCCACCATTCCTCACTTCCATACCTCCTTCCAGGTCCCCCCTTACACCTGGCGCCCCCAGGCCTATCCCCATTTTCAAAACTTCCCTTTTCACCTTAGGGCATGTCTCCTCTTCCTCCTCTTTCTTCTCCTTTTCTTCCTTTCTCCCCCTCTTTTTGCCCCTTCCTCCTTCGCTGTTTTCCCAACCTTCGCTGTTTTCCCAAGGACTTGAAGACTCCACAGGTCTCCCCTCTAACCCACGTACCACATCACCAATTCGCTTCCATTTGACTTGCCCCCTCTCCCAACTTCCCCAAACATTTTCTGTTAAACAAGCAGCATCACCAGCACCACCACCAACAGCAGCATCAGTAGCAACACCACCATCAGGAACAGCAGCGAGGGCAAGTTGTGCGTTGAAGAGATTAGGTGCTTGACGAAAAGAAATCGCAATGCCACCATCACCACCGCGAGCAGCAGCTTCAGCAGCAGCAGCAGCAGCAGCAGAATCAGCACCAGAAGCAGAAGCATCCCTGTCACCAACAGCAGCACGAGCAGCAGGAGCAGCAGCAGCAGGAAGAGGTTTCCACTTGGAGTTGAAACGATGGAAAGCTGGAGAGGATACCTGTGGTGAGCTGATCAGGTGGGATGCTTGATGGGATAGGAAGGCTGCAAGAAGGGGGCTAGCCGTTACTGCTGATGCTATGGCAGCAGTAAGGGCAGGGCCAGGGGGAGAGGAAGGAGCAGGAACAACGGGCATGATTGCAGCAGCAGTAATAGGTGAAGAGAAATTAACAGTGCCAGAAGCAGCACCAGGAGCGGGAGTGGCAGTGGTAGCAGCAGGAGCAAAAGCAACAGCGGCAGGGGCGAGGGCAGTAGCAGTAGCAAGAGCAGTAGCAGGAGCAAAAGCAGCAGTCGTAGCAACAGGAACAGCAGCAGGAGCAAAGGTGACAGCGGCAGCAGCAGGCGCAGGCAAGCACACAGGCGTGAGGGCATGTGAGGACACAAGAGCATGAGCACGCATGGACGGAGCAAGAGGGATTCCTGCTTGCATGCGGAAATGGGCTGCTCCATTTCTGACTTCACTACTTGTAAAGCTTCCTGTGTCAACAAAACCACCTTCCACTCTTCCTAATCTTCCAGCCAATCCTCCTCCTCCTGGTGCAGGAGCAGCAGGAGCAGCAGCAGCAGCAGCAGCAGCAGCAGCAGCAGCAGCAGCAGCAGCAAGAGCAACAGGGGCAGCAGGAGCAGGAGACATGGACAGCGACAAGGAGAGATCAAGACCTTCCTGGTGCAGGTTCGTGCCCTCCCATTTCAGCACCCCATCCCTCACACCAACGCACACGCCTCTCGTGCTTTCCAGAACGGATCCTCCTGGTGTTAAAGGGCCACCTCCTCCCTGCTCTGCTGCTGCAGTACCTGAGCTTGTGACTAACTTTGTGCCTCTGTTCTGATCCCTTGTAGCGCTGGTCGTTTCGAAAGCTGGAGTAGAAGGGGCCAGGGACCGGGACATGAGGAGATCAGAGACGCTAATACCCTTGCTTGCTCCTCTGGCTGCTCCCCGTAGAATTCTTGCCATTCCTGCCAAACCTTCACCCAGATCTACTGGGGAACCAGTTCGAATGTCTCCTACTATTCCCCCTGTACCTTGTAATCCTTCCATTTCTTCACTCGCTCCTCCTACCCCTCCTCTCCCGTCTCGCCCTCCTCCAACATCCCCTTCATGCCCTCTTCCACTTTCGCTGTTTCTTTCAAGCGCCCCAGCCCCTCCCGACAACCCACCAGCTGACTCCTCTCCACCTCCTGCACTTGCTCTACCCGTTCCACGACCTCCTATTTTTGGAAATGCAGCTGAATCGGGCGATGAGGGTGCTTCCACTACCCCGTCTGCACCTGCCCCAGAAGTCCTTTCGCTCATGAGTTCTTTTCCCAGAGAAGGCAGGGCAGGCAAAGCTGCTGTTCCTGCACCAGCGAATGCTTCACCTACACAAGAGCCAGCTTCTCTTGCTGCGCTTGCATGAACTTCTCCTTGATTCACGTCTAAAATTGGCAATGCAGCTTCATTGGGCAATCCAGTTCCCCCCTCCAAGGGTGCCCCAGCAGTCATTCTTATGATTGCCGCTATGATCCGCTGCTGCTCCTGCAGTTGTTGCTGCTGCAGCAGCAGTTGCTGTCGTTGCATTTGTTGCTCCTGCTGTTGCGTCTGCTGTTGTTTCTGTTGGCAATCATGCTGCTGCTGCAGCTGCACCAGTTGATGGCGTTGCTGTTGGTGCTCCCACTGCTGATGTCCTTGTTTAACCTGATGCTCCTTCTGCCGCCACCCCTGCTGCTGCCCCTCCTGTTGCTGCCACCGCCACTGCTGCTGCTGGGGTTGCGGTTGATGCCGTTGCTGTTGCTGCTCCTGATGCTGCGTCTGGTGTTGCTGTTCCCGCTGCTGATGCTCTTGCTGCTCCTGATTCTCCTTCTGTTGACACATCGGTTGCATCTGCTGTTGTTTCTGCTGCTCCTGATGTAGCTGTTGTTGCTGCTGCTGCTGCTGCTGCTGCTGCTGCTGCTGCTGCTGCTGCTGCTGCTGCTGCTGCTGCTGCTGCTGCTGCTGCTGCTGCTGCTTCTGCTGCTGCTGCTGCTGCTGCTGCCGCCTCAGACGCTGCAGCTGGCTTTGCCACGAAACCGGAGCAAAAGACCCCACATCCAATCCAGATGGTGGGGCAAAAACCGCAGGAAGCGTTGGCGAGAGCGACTGAGCGTGAGAGGACTGGGAAGGCAGCAGTGAAGAGACAGACCCTCGCGAAGAATCAGCAGCAAAGGACCGACCAGGAGCTTGCTGCATGGATGCGAACGGTCGGGGAAGAGGCGATGCAGTGGGTGCAGGAAAATGGCCATGAGTCGAGGGATTCTGTGGGGCTAAGACAGGCGCTTGGGATAAGGCAGGCGCTGGGGCTAAGACAGGCGCTGGGGATAAGGCAGGCGCTGGGGATAAGGCAGGCGCTGGGGATAAGGCAGGCGCTGGGGATAAGGCAGGCGCTGGGGATAAGGCAGGCGCTGGGGATGAGGCAGGCGCAGAGCATGAAGCCGTCGCAGGGCCTATTGGTTCGCGCAGTGCATGTCTCGGTGCCGAAAGACCCAGTGAGAGTTGAGGTGAACAAACAAGTGGAAACGACGGCTGTGGGGATGAAACAGGGGGGGTATAAGCAGGCGGGGAGATAGTTCCACGCTGTGGGATGATTGCTGCTGACTGTTGTGCTGCTGAGGCTCTTTCAGTGAAGTCATCTGTCGGCTGTTGTGCTGCGGACCTTTCAGCCCCTAGGCTGGTTCCACCTGGTTTTATGGCTGCTGGGAAGGCTGTGGCGAATGCTGTTGAAGCACCTCTTGAAGTCTGCTTCTGCTTGAACGCTGTTTGCTGCTGCTGCCGCTGCTGCTGCTGATGCTGCTGCTGCGATGGTTGCTGCTGCTGCTGCTGCTGCTGCTGCTGCTGCTGCTGCTGCTGCTGCTGCTGCTGCTGCTGCTGCTGCTGCTGCTGCTGCTGCTGCTGCTGCTGCTGCTGCTGCTGTAGAAATCCCAACAGCTGGATCATAACGGCTTGGGTCATGCTCGCACTCCCTCCTTGAGACCCACCCCTCCTCTCACCAGCAGTTTCAATCTCTCCAGACACAGCCAAGGGCATTGTAGCGCTACTGCTCTCAGCAATGATGCCTTGAGGCCCCTTCCCTCCATTATAATCCGCACCACTGGCAGATCCAAACCCTTCACGTGGCACTTCCAGGGAAGAATAGTCTCGTATAAGATGATCTATGCCGGCCAAACCTGCGGTCATCTGTCTTGTGGGGACAGCTGGGTTCAGAGACCCCAGAAAGGCAGGGAGAGCAGCAGGGCTGCTGAAGGAATGACCAATCAGAGTGGTGGAGAGCGGTGAGGTGCTGTTGGAGATGCTTGGGTATGCGGTTGCAATAGGAGTGGTTCGTGTGGATTCAAAGGAAGAAATATGCGGTGGAGGAGCCGTGGTGCTGAGAGAAGGACGGTCTTTGGGTAAAGAAGGCGTTAGTGTGAAAGAGGTTTGAGCGGAGGAGGCCATAGGGGGTTAATCAGCACAGCACCCAATATGGCCCAGCCTCTTAGAGACTCCAGCAGAGGAGACGAGGCTGGGACTGTTTGGGAGTCAGACTGGAGAACACATGTGGTAGCTGCGACAACTTCCAGCTCCTTAAAGACGTGTCAGGTGACACAAGTAGCTGCTGTCGCCGTCAATATCAGGAGACGTGAGTGCTCCAGAGACGCCGATATGATCGGCTCAAAAAGACATAAAACTTTTGTTAAACTGATGGGCGAGAGATCGAGATCACCTGACGCTGTTGCTGATGTGTTAACCAAAAAAAAAGAAGTCATCAGCTGATGTGACAGATCCAGAGTCACTGCAGGCTCATAAGACCAGACCAGAGGACATGGTATGGTGCGATGTGTGGGGGCTCTGAAACTCCTGACAGGCCGATGTTCCCTGGTATCTGGAGGAGCCTGAGACGTTGTCTCGCCAACCTGAGCGCGGGAAAGGGAAATCAAAGAATAAAAAATGAGGCTCTTTTCTTGAAATATTTTTTTCTGCCGCCGTTTCAAAAGTGGATTTATAAGGTTCCCGATGTGACGTGCCGCTGGGCCTGCGGTCACTGACAGTGAAAGGTTAGTAGTACTGCTAGCGCTGGGAGTGGCGGTAACAAAAACTCATTTTTCATAGAAAGATGCACCATCATTGCATGTATTCGATATGTAACAAGAGAATGATACTTGCCACAGTAACAAGATAACGAGCGGAGTGCTTTTCAGGCCTGACCTCTTGGCAATTCAGCTGTCAGTGTAGTTTCCCGCGGGTTTTTTAGACCTCCTCGCGTACCACGCTGGCTTGTTGAGACTGACAAAGATGCTACGTGACATGCCTCATCAGAGTTTCCCGTGGAAACAATAATTGATTCAAATTATCCCGCTTGATGAAATGGTTCGTTGTTAGGCCTATTCGATTACAGTGAATGTTTGAACGGTTTGAATAGATTCGACGAAGAAACCTCATGTGCCCAGCCAGCGCGTCTAAAGAAACTAGGCAACTGCCTCGAGTCACGACTTGCAAAGGCTGGCATGGGTGATTGATATGGCGAGGAAATAACATCACAACAGCGCCGGTGGGTTGACGGCGCTGTCGGGGTGCTTGGTCGGGGGGGGCACACAGCTTCACAAAGACAGCTGTTGGATATCATAAATTTGCCAAGATCCAGACCACTGGGGGTTGATTGTGTCAGGAGGGGAGGGTGAAAATCGGCGCACCCTGTGAACTGCAAGGAATGGGTTGCACAGAAAGCTACTGTAGCTCTTTGTGTACGGTACACTACTGTACATGTACACACAGCAGTGCCTGGGGTGGGGAATGATTCGTGAACACGACACACGTAACTGCAGCAGGTGGCCGTTTGCGTCGCTTCTGTACAGTACAGTATCATACAATGGGCGGTAACCACGAAAAGTTGCTAGGGCCTCTCGGCTCGACCAGGGCTATTTCTGCTGGCTCGAACGATCTCGGCCCTTGTGAAAAGGGCCCTGTAAAAGCCGAGTTCCAGTCACAAAAAACCTGGAAACATGCGCTAGGGCTGAAAATCAGGAAACGGGAAGGTCAGAATTTCGCATGATGGAGAGAGGTCGAGGAACGGACAGCACAAGGGCTTGGGAGGTTGGAGTCTAGAGTGATGGGATAGACATTTTCATACCTAAAAAGTCTGCCTACGTAGAACGGGTCAATTAGGGTACATCATGGCATGACAAGCCTTTCAAAATTTACGTGAACAGAACTTAGCATAACCATACGCTTACGACGTGTTGCGACCCACCCGGGTCGGGTCGACCACCCTCCGATCCCGAATTTCTAGGAAGCTCGCAGTGCCGACCTACCCCACCAGCTCGACCCGACCCAACCCAACCCGGGTTGGGTTGGGTCGGCTCGACCCGGGTCGACCAGGTCGGGGCGACCAGGCCGACCAACCCCAACCCAACCGAGCTGGAGCAGGTTACCGGAGCCCGCGAATACTGTGGTTCTCGCGTGGATGTCGTCTGTATCTCGTCCAACAATTTGATACCCGGTAATGTCGCGCACATCTAGGGTTGTGACATTGTGTGTTTCCCCCAGCATCGTCAAACATTGCCCAGCCCACCATACACCCTCACAGCAGTTGCGCCCTCAAGACGTCTAATTTGAATGGAAGGCGATGGGAAATTCTTTGGTTTCTCGAGTCGCGTTGGGGTTTGGTCGGGTCGGGTCGGGGTCGACCAGGTCGGGCCGACCCGACCCAACCCAGGGTGGGTCGCAACACGTCGTTAGAGTTGTGTTCGCATATTTCTTCAGATGTTGCGTTTATTATTACTACCACGATTACACGGGAGTCCAGCAAGTTAGACTCTGTTTTGTAGAAACTGTAAATTGGCTTCTGTGTCTTGTTGGGCTGTTCCACAGGTTCGAGGTGTCTAGTTGTCGCTCGTCCGTTTTGTCAACAAGCCCACTTGGCACTTTTCACCATCTCTAGTGTCAACACTGTACAGCACTAGAGAGGGCAGGCATTTCAAAATTGAAAGAGTGCCAACGGGAATCGAAAGATATTTGAGTCATCTACACACCCTACTACATCCAGAAATCCCTGACTGCCAGTGGAATTTTTCGATTCTAACGAATGAAGTGCTGGCTCTCAGTTATGTTCTGGCGAAGGTGGCGAGGAGGTCTTCACTTCCGCACCTCAGGGGGAATTCTTCATACTCTCAGGAAAGGAAACAGGCCACAATGGCGCCCAAAGTACCCATCCCATTGACAGTATCCAGCTGACGGAGAGGAGACTGCACAATCTAGCATAAATTTCAATCACGTGTTAGAAGAAAACTGTCCCAGAAAATGTCCACTCGAACAAACTCTATCCTGCACATGAATTTAGATATTCCGATATACACGGAAGCAAATTTTACCTTCACTCAGAAGTCCTTTCTACACCATATCCTCTTTTCTGTTGCACTGAACTCCTAACTACAATATGAATTTACAGCCCGCATTGACTTGACACAGGTCAAGCATTCTCCCCAAGTTAATTGGACTAGTCATATACTTTCGTACATTCTTCTCTTTCATGACTAAGAATTCCTTGTTGGAATGAAATCAACTACAATCGAAACTGGTTCTGTAAAAGAATATATAGTATATGCACAAAATATTATGTGTCTTGATCTCTTGTAGCATTAGCATTTCCAGCTTTACTAAGATCATGTTTAAACATTCATATATTTCCTAAGATATAATGCGGTTTAATATGACATATAAGTAAATTCATTAAATTTCAATAAAAAATATAATGTATTGTCAGAATAATATATAATTCTATATATTGTTCTATAACTGCCTGTAGTGTAGAATACTGTAGTTATAACGTTTTCCTATTTGGTGGTGCACCTTTCTTGTTTGTTCTCTCCTATTTGTACCCTCGCTCAATATTGAATCATCCCCTTTTTGGCCTTCTCTCTCGACTCTCGTTCCTAACTCTCGCCATACCTAGGGTTCCTACTATCTTGCCTAAGATACTCTTACAACATGGTATCAGAGCTAGTTTCCGATCAACGGGCCCACCGCTTTTCGATCCTAGCATGGCGGCCCTCCCTCCCGACGAGTTTCTGCTGCAATCGTGCCGCCACAATGACCGTCGCGTCGAAATCCGCGACGGTCCTGATCGTCAGCGCGATCGACGGGGCGAAGGCGGCGCTCTGCTCGTCGCGCTGCCTCGTCGCCCCGTCGTTCGCGGCCACGCTGCCCCGTCGCAGCTTCGTCGCGCCTCCGTTACGGCCCTCTGTCCCGCTCGTCGTGTCCGAGCAACTGTCCCCGCCCACCCTCCCGCCGGTCTTGCTGCAACTGTCGCACTTGCTGCTGCCGTGCGCGCTCCTGCTGCGGGGGGAGGTCGTGGGCGTGGCGGACATCGGGGGAGGCGGTGTGACGGGATGGACGCTGTGAGACGCCAGCAGCGCCTGCAGTCGCCCTTTATCGCCCCATACGCGACTGTCGCTGTGGGGGGGAGGGTGCAGGGGTGGCGGGAGTGTACCCGCAGGAACCGGCCGCCGCCCTCCTCTCTCCTCTCTCTCCCTGCAGCGCCTGTCGCTATGGGGGAATCGGGGGAGAGTGAGGGGGTGGCGAGAGAGATTATGTCGAGCCAGCAGCCGCCCTTCCTCCTCTCTCTCTCACTGCTGCGTGAGCAGCAGTGGGGGGGGGGTGAGAGAGGGTGGCGGAAGTCAGCCGGGCATCTGCTGCTGCCGTCCCGCTGCTACCGTGGCACATCCAGCTGCCGCCCCTGCCGCCACCTGCCTTTGCTGCCTTTGCTTCTGTTACCTGCTGCTGGGGCCTGCATGTGCTGCCGTCGAGCCGCTGCTGTCCTGCTGCACGTTGCAGCCACAGAGCCTGCTCCTCAGGCGACCTGCCGCCCCTACACCTGCTTTTGTTTCTGCCTTGGCTAAGGGTGTGCTATAGCTGTATCTGCCACTTCTGCACCGGCTATCACTGCTTTTGCCTGCCACTGTTTCTTCCGCTGCACTCTGTCTGGTGTACCCCATTATGGGGGCGTTGATTGCACATTCTTCCTACAGGCACTTATGGGGGCGTGTCAGAATAATATATAATTCTATATATTGTTCTATAACTGCCTGTAGTGTAGAATACTGTAGTTATAACGTTTTCCTATTTGGTGGTGCACCTTTCTTGTTTGTTCTCTCCTATTTGTACCCTCGCTCAATATTGAATCATCCCCTTTTTGGCCTTCT